TGAAGTGTGCCTATCCTGGTATAACAAAAGCAGGAAGAAAGAAGGTGACTCAAGGTAAGAGGATTTGAATAGCAAAAGAGGGAGAAAAAAAACTCATGCATCCAAAGATAAAGGAAATGTCTTGTGGGACTACATTAAGAAGTGAGTAGGTGCAGCCTCACAACTGAATATGATCACCAAAGTAGTAACAGAAACCCCTTGAGACAGTCTTTCTTATAGACTTGAACAACACTTAAGTGATACCACCTCTGCAACAATGCATTACAACATCATCATGTTGTTTAGCAGTCTTCAGAATCTCTGTTAAAAAGCACACAACACCATTTTAGGGTGTGAATTTTCAAAAACCTCCTGTGCAAATGTGTCTTTAGTGGGATTCAGGGAGTCCTCCTGTTTTGTTTCACTGTCATCTTGGAAAAAAAAAAAAAAAAAAATTTCCAATTCCCACATTTATTTATGTCAACTGTAAATATTTGCTTGTATTTGTATGTCACCTTTTTAACCAAAACAGGCTCCTTGTTCTAATTCTAAAGTTGCAGAGTGTTTGCTTTAAACTTACTTCTACATATTAACATTCTGAATGTGTTCATATATAAAATATCTTTTTGTTGTATTAAAATAGTATTTGTTGGTACATAGGGGCAATAGCCTGATAATTTCAGGAAAAACATCTGTAACATTACAGCTCTAAGAGCTGTAAGCATTATTTTAAAAATCAACATTAGTAACAAAAGTAGACTGTTGTTTTGGACCTATTGTAAATAAAACTGCATTTAAAATAACTAAAGATATACAGTATGAGTCTGAGTCTCCTATTTAGAGGATTATATTTAAATCAGAATCATGTCTCCAATATAACAAAACAGCATTGGGGTGATGGCAAGTAGACACTTCAAAACCTGAAATTCATCACCTGAAATAAATCGTTTAAATTCTTGAGAAAACAGGAAAAGTGCTTCTCAGTGATCAACCAAATTTTTTAGCACTGCAGTTTTCATCCAGATTGCTCCATTAAACATAGAGAAGTGAATAAATATTTTGTCCGAAGCCATTTTGAAATCAAATAACACACTTTTTAACTTAACTCTGTCTGTTTTGGTGATATTTTTAAAAGGCAAACATTTTATTCCTTATTAATTAATGGTTTAAGCTCATTAAAAATGGAAATTTCAAAATCATCTTTAATAGGCCACACCTAATTTGATGACTAACTGGAAGCTACTGGAAGCTTCAAAGTCATTCAATATAACCAATAGAAAAGGCGCATTTATTTTAACCATGAGTGGCAGCAAATTCTGTCTCTCTTTATGATAGTTTTGATGTTTCTGTTTTGATGTTTGGGTGATTAGCAATGCAGTTCAAACAATGCATTTTTACTCTACCTATTGCTCTGGATACGGACAGACTCCCATTGACCCTCCACGTGCCAAACCAAATCACACATCCTCCCAGAGCCTCGATCCTCTGCTTCTCATCCTGCAAACACAAAAAGGTGGTCACCATCTGATGCTGCTATTCTATGCAGTATAGCAATCATGTGTGCTCCACCTGCCCTGCATGCTACTTAAAAGTAATGGTCCATGCAATATTGTTCCCTTTTTGGGGTAAGATTGTACTTCTGTTTTTAGACTAAAAATATAAAGTGCTATCCCTAAATGTCAGGAAAGGTGACAACAAAATAAGCATGATGGGTGTTTTCTTGATATTGTCATGGTCTTGGTTCTGCTGTTCTTTTCTTTGCTCCTTGTTTTCTAGATTTATTGGCCTAATTCCAGTTTTGTTGTATTTCTAGATTTATATTAGTTCTCATGTTTCTCTGTTGTCCTCTTTTGCCCTCTTGTGTGTGTATGTTCCTTTCCCCTTGGCTCCCTCGTTGTCTCCTCTCACACCTGTTCCTTGTCTGCTCGTTAGCCCTCCCTTTGTCTCTCTCTCCTATATATGCTCTCCCTCTGCTCTCACTCTTTGTTGGTTCCTTGTCTTTGCTGTCCTCCCATGCTGTTGTCCACGTTCCTCGTCTCTCCCTGGCTCCTCGTGTTTGGTTTCCCCCAGATGTCTTCTCAGTTCTGGTTTGCCTCTCATTATTAGTTGGATTTTTGGATTCCTGCCTTTGTTTACTGTTTTGCCCCATTAAAACTCCCAGAAATCTCCTCAGCCTCTGCCTCTGCATTTGGGTCCTCCAAACCACAACCAAACCCTGACAGATATCTCTTTTTAAGGTATGAAAAGAACAAGTAAAAAATCAACAAGACTAGAGGAAGAGATTTACTTTAACTAGATGTCAGGACATATTTTGAAATAAATTGAATTATACCTAGAACATAACATCCTCAAGCCTGAGTTAACATACTTTTCAATAAAACCTAAAATACGTTTATTAGTACTACAAAAAAGGGAGTCATAAGTGCGGAATGTAAAAGTTATTTCACCTTTAAATTAAAAGTATATAACTTAGAAATTCCTCTTTGTTCTATTTTTAGTTAAGCTGTAAAGTAAATGCTAAGGATATCTCAATATAACTTTTTAATTTCAAATACAATCAAAATATTGCAGCTTTGGGTGTTTTTCTGATACTGATATTGACTTGATATCGGCACAAATGCTTTTATTATTCATTTTGTAATTAGGGGTGTTAGAAAATGCTCGATAAAGTAATATGTCAGCAGCAACGGAGGAACAACTGACCCAATCATTATCAACCAATAAGTCACATCAGCTTTCTTACATCTCAGATTTTTTAGATGCCGGGCCATATATTCTGATATATGTATTATGGCTGATATCAGATTGATTTAGGGATATCTCCTGTACATGCTTATATTTATGTAAAATATATCTAAAAGTTTGTAAGTTAAATTGAATTTTATTTACAAGTCATATATTGTATGGTAAACATATCAAAAGGAAAAATCTAAAAGAAGAAAACATCTTAAAGCAGTTCTAAAATTTCTATGCATGTGCAGCTTTTACATGTTTGAAAAATTAGTATGCTTCCACATAGTGATGTACAATGGGCAGTCACTGCGCATTAGCAACTTCCTCATTAGAGGTGCTTAGAGTAACCTTCTTCCAATCCATCAAACTATCTCAGCGACATTGGAAGACTCCACAAGAAAAGCCACATCTGTTCTTCGTCCAAAGTGTGCAAAAAACAAAGCACAATATTTGGTTCCAGCACCTCTGATTAAGTTCTTGATGCAACAGTATTTCTTGATGCATATTTTGGTCTAAAGACTATTTGGACCAAAATATCCAACTATGAAGTGGGAGAGCTTTTAGAACTTTTATAAAACAATAGTGTTAAAATGTATTTAACTGTCATTAACTGTAAAAGGGATTCTGGGTAATCTTCAGGGTGACAGCTTTAGTGCATTAAGAGAAAAAAGACAATTAAATGTGCTTTGGAATCAGTACCTACATAAATAATTTCTATCCTTAATCATACCAAACTACATTGTGTAAAATGGTAATAATCACTTTGCTGAGAAGACGAATGGATTAGATAATTTCTGTTATATTGTTTGTCTGACATCATCGTCTGTGATAGACTGGTGACCTGTTCAGTGTGTACCCCGCCTCTCGCCCATAGACAGCTGGAGATAGGCACCAGCGCCCCTTGCGAACCCAGTAGGGATAAAGCGTGACAGAAAATGCATGGATGACATCATCGTTGCACATGCTCAGAGCAGAACGGAAGAATATGACTGCCCTTTATCTATATTTTTTAAATCTGTTTCTTTAGATTCAATACTATTTATAAAAATACAATGAAAATAAAACAATTATGTTTAGATATAGAGACTCAAAAAATATCCTGTTAGAAGTAAAATGCAGTTTGGTTTCTTGGACAGATTGAGAAGTGGGAAGCTCTGCTGAGTGACAAATGTTGGCTTTGATCATTTAGAATTCAATACAAATCTATCTCTGTTATCTAATTGAATGAGAAAGGTGAGATCAAGTGTGCTTGCCAAAGTTATTTTAGGCCCAAGAAAGCTAGGCTAAGTAAGCCAATTTAAGACAAATTAATTAGGCTATGTTGGTAATGTTAACCGGTTTGCCAAAGAACAAAAAAACAATTTGTTATTTCTTTGTTCTTTGAAGAAAGAGATCTGTGTCTCACCTCTCTGTCTGGTTTATGTGGTTTCATCAGCTCCACCACCTGCCCTCTACGGACCAGAATGACCTGGGAATCTCCCAACCAGGCCACATACAACGTTCGGCCTCGCAGGAAGGTCACCACTCCTGTTGTTCCACAGCGCAGGTGCTGCAACAAACAGCAACCAAACCAAATTTAAAAATGTACATCTATAACAAACTCATATATAAAAACGACAAGACTACGAGAGTTGCAACTGTAAAAAAAAAAAAAAACAGCATGACAGGACAAAATAAGAGGTCTTTCTGTTTATGAGGGACAGGGTTACCTCTCGGGAGGCCTTCTTCACAAAGCGCTCATCAGTCAGCTTGAAGGCTCTACACAGTGCCTCACTGGGGTCCTGGCTGAAGCATTCCTGATGGAATAAATTGACATGCAGGTGGTTGGCAGCATAAATGGCAGCATCCACGCCGCCGTGACCATCAAACACAGCAAAGAAAGCCTGCTCCTCTTGATCCTAGGAGACAAAACGAAGAAAAGAATGGGTTACTTACTGCTTTCATTCATTCAATAGGAATCTGGGGAAAGCAACACCAAAAGGAAACACCATGCTCACCTCCAGTTTTAGTCCACATACAATAGTCTGTCTAAAAATATAAATACATTCAGACCTACAGACATAGCTCTTAAATAGCACTTTCTAAAGACTCCTGGGGGCAATGCTACCATACAGCATATAAGCTACAGTATAGAAATTATATAGGGGCTGAAACAAATACAGGAAGCATTATTTACAATGATTAAAATATAGTGGTACTCTTTAACATAATTTAAACACCTGTGTATATTTATATTTACATGAGAACTTCACGTATGTACAGCAACAACTATTCCTATTTCACACCTCTGTTAAATGTCAGTTCTTTTCAAAGTATGACACCAAAATCATGCATTTGATTTTTATTGTTTGTGCTCAAAGTAAAAAACAAACAAATCTATTAGGTGGGAGAAACTATGGTTGCTTAAATTTCCTCATTTTTCAATAGAATTCCATTGGAGATACAACATTTTGATTTGCCAATATTTGCCACACTGAAAATCATCGTATGAAATCATCTTTTGCCCAAAAACCTTTAAGTAATCCCACTTTTATTCTAAAGTTAGCAAAGACAGGTATATATCCTAGTCCTGATGAAATAATGGTTGTTTTGTTTAATTCAGTTCAATTCAGTTTATTTTGTTTTATTAGGGGGGC